CGTGCTATCACTTTTAGAAAGACCAAATTTGTAACCTGAGTTTAATGTTTCTTCCAACTTTCTGTGCAAAATTTCAAGCTGTAATACTTGACACTTTCCAACTAATATTCGAAGCTGCTCCTCCAGTTTGATTTTCATTTCAAAAACACACTTGGAGGCCTTGAAATTCCCAGCTGTGGAGCACCCCCTATTAGAAATACTTTCTTAAACTTGCTTGTATGAGCACACACTTTTTCCTATTTCAAAAATTTTCAATGATATTAACATTAAATTTATTATTTTCAATGCATACACAATGTTTCTACGCCGTCAATCTCTCTTAATTCAATCACACACATACACACTCTGTCGGAGTAGCGCACTGAGCAAACTAAAGGCAGATCAAGGCTCTGCGCCATTCATTTATCGCGATTTGAATAATTTTTTAATTGCAACAAAAGGGAAATGGGAAAATTATATCGACGCTAACAGAGTGTAATCACCATTAACAGTCATTATGAGCAGATACATACATACAAATATATATACATGTGCATATTTAAGCTCCATCCACATTATACAACTAGTCCGACTGGGTTAATAAGGCAATTGTTGGCTATTTAACATTTGACATGTAATATTTAAATGAGTTTATTGTGTGTAACGGCATGTAAACAAGTTGTACGAGTTGCTGTTGTTGTTGTTTTCCCCGATATCTAAGCAAAAAATTAGCATACATTAAATGTGTTAACGAGTTTAACGGGACAATATGGAGCGAGAAGTAAATAAGCAAATAAGCACGAATTATTGAGCGCTTTGTAACCGCTGAAGCGATTTTTCGGCTGAGCTCCTCCTCAAATTAATGGTTTTACGTCTTGATGTTTTTCCAAACAAATGGGGAGAACTACATTTTATACCAAGCCGTTTACGAGGAGCTTTTTTATGGGGAGCATTCCGAATGGCAGTACTCAATGCTAATCACTCGGTTACCGCAGAAGAAAAAGATATACTGGATTTATACAATGGTAGTTAGATTAACACTATTCTACGGTTCCACTGTATGGTGGCCGGCAATCGAAAAAAGTGCTTTTTTGTAGCAAATCAAAGAGAATTCAAAGGTCCTTATAAACAGAAGCACTCCGTTTAAACCACCTCAACAAACTTTCGCAGCTGCTAGCGGGTTTATTCTCTAAGTGAAACACTATTCATCACCATTCATCATCCACTTCAGAAATATATCGGTTTTATTACGATTCGACAGCGACTCGCAGATGAGAATTTGATCCACGCATACGTCGAGCATGTATCCAGCGTGGTTCCAGACTTCTTCTTGGACCTGAACTGGTTTTCCAAGTGATTGATTTATGCTGTATAAGTCCATGCCGGCCACTTTTGCATACCCAGAAGTTCTCTGACACATATTTTCACAATTTTATAGTTGGACAATTAGCAAACGACAAAACCTGGAATCATTTTTGTAAAAGCCGCATCGGTCTTCCGCCAACTTGTTGGCATAGAAAGCCTAAGAACCAGGAACGGTTCCATAACATTGTGCAGGTCAAATTTTTGATCCTTGGCGCGTATTTTTAAAGAGTCTGCCGAGCTCTACCTCTCTCACTCTTCAGCCCTAATCAACATAGACTTCAGACACCAATGTTTTTGCTACCTTGCTGACGTAGCAACGGCTATTATAGGCAATATCGCATCGTTTATAAGGCATACGAATTGGTACGTACATCTGAGAAGTTGACAAGTACATCACAACGGTATCTTAATGGGCCTTCAGACCTAAGAGCGCTGGTCGCTGGCTGTGATCAGTAAGTTCATCAACTCAACTCTATGCAACTTTAGCTTATTTTTGAAAGTCAACAGTTGAGAAAGGGACAGGACAGGTGAACGGTAATTAGGTGAAAAAAATAATTCTTCACAGGACAAATATACAACATCACGTACTCACCATCATCATTAACGTGTATCTGCTTTAATTTGCTGTTGATCTCTGCTCAATATAACTGTTGTCTTGATACTGATACGTATTTATGAATTTGGTTGAAAATTGTTTATTCACTTCACAAAGCGTATATATCATTCGTGCACTTTACATTCAATTAGACTTGTTATTTCACTTTGCTTTGCCAGCTAATGTAGAGAAAGCACAAATTACAGCCGCATGAATGCGTAAATATAATGTAGTATTGAAGTTGTGCCTGATGAATGAAATGTTGAGAATCTCATTTCACTTGAAATTCAATGCAAGCATTGTCACATAGTTATGTAAGCCATTTTGCATATATCTGTGGAATTTCTTGTGCTTTTTTGTTTGATTTGTTTCCTTTTGCGTTGAAATATTTTCTGAATCTTTTACAAACTTCTCTCTTCTCATATTCGTAGAAATTACTGTACATCAGTTACTCGACTCGTCAGGTCATAACTGCAAAAACACGAAGCCAGATAGAGATATATAAAATTATAAGAATTATTGTGATGGCAATGGCTAAACATACAATTTACAAGCCAAATGAACAAGTTAGAAACTAATTTGAGACTAGTATGTCTAGCAAACCAAAAAAGATAGTATACAGTATTTTATCCTCCAACACGACAATGCTCGGCCTCACGTCGCAAAAGTGGTCAAAAAGTACCTGGAAGCGCTGAAATGGGAAGTCTTGCCCCACCCGCCCGCTTTGGGTAGGTCAATTGGCCACCAAGGTCGTGCGATATTGCAGTGTTAGACTTTTTCCTGTGGGGATATGTAAAGTGTTAAGTCTATGCAGACAATCCCACTTCGATTCAGGCCTTGGAGCAAAACAGATGTCACGTGTTCTCACCAGTTCGAAAAGTTTTCGAAAAATAAATGCCAATAAATATAAATTGTGTTTTTCTTTTAAGTAGGGATTTTCTTGGAAAAAGCTGGATAAACATTCAAATTCGTTGTACGGGTCGAACCTGAGCTAACGAGAAAAAACTTCTTGGCCCGAATTTCCATTAGCAAATCGCTGCTGTATGGTAACAATATCGACCTACTTCTGAAGCGGATAGAGCCTGGTGATGATAAGTGGCTAATTTACAGCGACGTCAAATGGAAACGATCATGGTCAAAGGGCAGTGAAACCCGATTGATGGTCAAGAAGGATATGCTGTGTGTTTAGTGGGATTGAGTGCTCTTCTACAGCCAAACTCTCAATTCGGACCTGTACTGACAGCAATTGGAATGTCTGATGAAGTAATTGCCTTACAGCGCTCAGCTTTGGTCAACAAGAGGGGAAATGTGTTTCATCAGCACAACGCCAGACGGCACACACATCGATAGCAACTCGCCAGAAGCACTGTGAGTTTGTTTGGGAGGTTCTTATGCATACGAGGTGTGATCAGAAAATATCTGTTATTTTCAAACTCCGCAAGTTACGTATGTTAAATTTTTGCTTTTTTTCTGTTGTGTTGGTACAAATGTTTGTTATATATGTTGGCAATATCAGCCATTTTGGATTGTCAGTTTGCTTTTGACAAACAAAAAAGGTTAGTCGTGTTTTGGTGTGCTTTTCACTTTTTTACCATTCGAAAAAATGGATCACAGAAACCGTATTAAGGTTTGTGTAAAAAAAATAAATTAAATGGATGTTACACGGTGGATGGATGGCAAGGACATTTGAAATGTTGACTGTGGCGTTTGGCGAGTCTACTCTTAGCAGAACACAAGTTCAATTGTGGTATAACCGGTTTAAGCAAGGCGGAGAAGATGTCAATGTCAACAACACTCGTCCTGGTCGCCCGACAACCTATGAAAACATTTAGGCAGTGAAGAAAATGAAATTTGTTAGAAACGCACAGAATTGTGGAAGAAACAAGCATGGATTTTGCACCATGATAACGCACTAGCTTGGGTTTTTGGCCAAAACAAAACGTTATTACCTCAATCACCTTATTCACCGGCTTTGGACCCCGCTGACTTTTTCCTCTTTCCAAAACTGAAGACTCCGATGAAAAGAAAGCGATTTGCTACGATTGAGGAGGTAAAAGGAAAATAGAATCAGAAAACAGGACCAAAAAAACGCGTTTTCAAAAGCGTTTCGAGGATTGGAAGACCGGCTGGCATAAGTGTTTTATATCTGTTGGGGATTACTTTGAAGTGGACCAGATAGTTATTGATGAATAAATACAAAAATTTTGAAAAAATTACCGTTATTTTCTGATCACACCTCGTACATCTTATAGTTTAAACCTCCACCAAGTGATCACCATCTGTTCCTATCTGTTACGAAAAATGTTGCTGGTAAAGAATTGGCCACAAGAGAAGCCTGTGAAAATCGTTTTCTTTTTATTTTTCCTTTTGAGACAAGGGTTTCTATGAGAGAGAGACATAAAAACAATACCCTCAAATTGGTAAAGAGTTATTGAGAAAAACGGTGCACATTTTAAATAAATCGGATAATTCTTACTATGGTAAACAACTTCAACAACAACTTCAATTGAATGTAAAAATGCGATGTATTTTTGTAAACAAATTGCAGATGACAACCGAACAAATTACTTTAAATTTTACTACCTACGCTTGTCGGTAAAAAATGTTTTTCTGCATACAAGACAAAACGTTAACAGTTAAAGGAGCTTAATTTTTTTTTATAGAGAAAATAACAACACTGCTGACAAACTCTCAGCTGGGCGTAGTGATATACTCGTATCAACATATTTTTAAATATTTATAAAAACAATATTTAGAAAAAATATTATTTTCCTTCTTTTGTTTACCTATATTAAATAAACTACGCAAAAAATATTTTGGTATTGTTTGCTTTCTTTTTTCAAGGTCGACAGCCGCTCACAGCCGTACCTCTGGTGAACAGACCCTGTAGAGGACTCTTCCCCTTGCCCATTTTACAAAGCAAAATAGAAACTAATAAATTTTTTCTTGTCCGCTAATTTTATTTTTTCGCAAATTCGATTTTCGGAAACAATTTTTTAGAACTGAAAAAAAAATTAAATATTATAGAACTTTAAATATTTGTAAATTTTACATTTTGCAATTATTTTTCGAGAAATTGTTTATGAGTGCAATATAATCAAGTTCAAAGCAAATCCGTTATTGTAGTCTAGTCCGGTATATTTATCAAAAACTTCTCACAACTGAGGACCCACCGGCACAAGCAATAGTGACTTGATTTCCATTAGACAACCATGGTCTGGACCAGATCTCAACATTACAATTATTCACCGCATTATTACTGTCCCGAAGATCCACATTGTATTTGGTAAGCGTACCCGTTACGACTTGTTGACTGGCGGTGTGAACTTTTACCACTCTGCATTAAAAAAATAATACATTAAAGAATACTAATTAATTTTTAATTAAATAAAATCACTTATAACTAGGCCCAGATCCAGCAGATAATTTGCTTAAAGCAAGTTCGAGTTGAAGTGTGGCCCTAGTTAACCCCTGACCGGTAAGATTCGTTTCAGCACCTAGCGCGGAAGGCTAAAATTATAGAAAGAGAAAAAGAACAAGGAAAATAGTTACATCCATAGCAGTAGAATACACAATATTAATTTATATTTTACAACAAATTGGATGAGCAACTCACCTCAGCTGGTATAAACAATAGCATTGCCAAAACGCAACTAAATAAAGCTAAAGCTCTGATATTTGTCATTTTCAAGTCGCACTATTTGTTTTCGAGTAAAAGCCACGATATGTGGAAATATATTACTACAAATATTTTGAAAGAAAACTTCGCTTTTATACTAAAATTCAGGGCAATAGACGCGGTTGCTAGTTGCCATAGTCCGGTAATGTAATTATTTGTAATTATATTTTAAACAAACATACATACAAATGCTTTAATTTTTATCAGCGAACAACACGAATATCACCTAAAAAATTTATATATAGTTATATATGTAGGTATTTATATTAAAACTCAAGATTTTGTTTCAGTCTTTTCGAGCACTTGTGCAATGAAGACACAACGTCGACCTATTCGCGCTTTTTCAAGTATTTAGATCAAAAGTTTTCACTTTTTTCCGAGAACTCCCTACTAAAATTTTAAAGCCAGGTTCCTCCAAAAAAATCGTTTATTTTTCTAACAAATTTTGCTTATTACAAAAAATAAAAAAAAATTATAAATCAAAGTTTTTGTACATGAGTAGACGTATAAAAATGTTATTTGAACAAAAACATATTTTTTTTTAAATGACGACTCTTAAGGGGTTACATAGGTCTTGAAGGCCAAAAAAAGCTTGTTTTCACTCAATTTTTTAAAAGATAATAAATAAAGTATACAATTTATTTTACTTACATATAAAAGTACATTAAGTGGACAACATTTGATGAAAATTTTAATGAAAAATAGTATAAGTTAAAACTTTGGCAGTGACCGTCCACAAGAAAGTGCTTTCGCGGTAGTCAGTTTTTATCTGAAATCAAAAATCCAAATTTTTTCTTACAGGCCTATTCTCACTGTTACCGGTAAAGTAAGTTTTGTTACTTTTCTTTAACACCCGAAATTAAATTTGGTATTCTGGCGGACTGGTTACAATGTTTGAAAAAAATTTGGCTGCACTGCTTTTTTCGTCCATGTCAAAATACATTTCCCAGTTAATAAAGTAAAAAAGAAAAATATTCACATCGAAATCGAAGACGGTGCCCAAAAAAATTAAAAAGTTTTATTAATTTGTTTATGAAATCATAAATATTTGAACCTAATTATGGAAAATATGCCTGGACAACAAAAAAAGCTGTATGAAAACGTTATCTTACAAATTTAAGGGCTATTTTTCAGTCTCGAAAACTTCTTAAAATACGACTTTTTCCACTTTTTTCTTCATCTTCAATGAATTCCAGGCCCAAAATATGCCTACCCATTTTGGTTTTTTATTTTTTCTCAAATTTACAACACAAAATCAAACAGCAGATATTTTTGTTACCTCCTATTTCGCTGGTAACAAAATTTACAGGGTAACAGTGAGCTCAGAATACGAAATGGTAACAAAATTTACTGAATGGCCTGTTAAAGTCTTGCGGACTTTCGGTACTAATTCTACATCATTTCGAAGAGTATTTTCTAGTAATTTATAGAAAAAAAAAGTTTCGTATGCAGAAGGAAAAATTCATTGAAATGTTAGAGAAAATTTAAATTGAAAAAATTTCAAACAAACCTTTTGAGAATTTGAGCAAGAAACGCGTCTCGAGCAATATGAGCAGCTCTGGTATCCTGCTTAGATTAGCAGGAAAACTAGGAAGACTACTTTCGTGCGCAGGAAGTTTACGACGGACCGATTTATTCGAAAAAATCTTATCTATGAACTCAAATAAAATAAATATTTAGAATTTTTTTCGCAAGTGGATAGTGACTACATAACAGATTTGCTTGGACCTTTCCGTAACTCTAGAGATTACATCATACGTTAAAATGTATAGTTTTTCATGAACTAAGAACGGCTGGACCATTTTGGTTAATTTTTTATTTTTTTTTTCAATTATTTGTGTTTAATAAAGAAGTCTTTTTCGAAAAAAATGTAACTTGATTCCGAAAAGCAAACTAAGTACCAGTTTAGACGAGGTAGGCTCATTTGGGTTGCAATTCCTTGAATTGAATTCCCTTGGATTGGTAGCTTATCTTTCAGAACAACTGAGAGAAAATGGTTCTTAAAATTTTTGCTTTTAGTTCAATTTGCTTAAAACTCTTTTCTTTTGGTGTAGTGAACCTGACACTGATCGATTCGCAAAACCGTATTTATTCTTCGGCTCGCTAGTACGTTTCTATCCGGAAACGACTTAGCTAGTTCTCAAGGAGTGTTGTTAACTAGATTAACGCGTTCTATTGGACGATAAAAAACGCAGAAGAAAATGAAAGAGTCTTTACGTTTTTCCATTACAAAAGCAGTAGCGCATAAACGTTGTTGCACGAATTGCAACATTTAACGCCTTCGAACTTCACGACTTCGTTAATTATTTTATATTCACCATTGAAAGTTTAACAGAAACTGCTAATGACTAATTTCTGTGACGTAAAGCTATTCGAATCTTTTATATTCCATATTATTTTCGAATATACCCATTTTGTGTCTTGTTTGTTCATCCTAGTAAGCTTAACCTTTAATTTTCACGGTAAAATCTCTTTTTTTCTCAATTTAATTTATGGAAAAGTAGCATGAATTCGACAGTCATTTGAAGGAATTTTCAACAGTTTGAGAAGAGCTGTTAAATTATTCCATCAAACTACTAAAAGTACATTTTTTTTTTAAGGTTAGAGTGTAATTAAAGACTGTTTCAAACTCTAATACATTTTTCCACCTTTGTTTGCTATTCAAAATTCCTCGACAAATATTCTTTAAAAAAAAGAGATTTAATGCTAGATGCCGAGGGAAAAATATTGTATGCCGAGTTCCAGGTTGAACCTGAGTTAAGCTCGCCGGATTCTTTGTAAAAAAGTAGTTTTTTAATTACATGTTCTAGTCTTTTTCTGTGTATTGCCTTAAACTTTCTTTAGTGGGTGCATTAGTGACCCGACTTGTCACACCCAGCAAAAGCCGAGTGGTCAAAAGTGTATGTTGACTTACTAAAGGTCATGGGCTCGAGTCTAGGCCAACACCCGACTAACAAAAAAAAAAAGAAAATAAATTTTAAAAGTAAAAATAATTTTTCGATCTGCGGTCACCTTTCGGCAGGTGCGGAAGAATAAAAAAATATTTGGGAAATCCGATTATCACTATCAGTTATAGTAAATAAATTATATTTACTGAGCCTTTGGCTATTGGAGGTGAACGACAATCCTAATTCTACTTTTCCAATTTTTTTTTTTTGCTTTTGCCAACACTTTTTATTAAAAAAAAATATGTAGAAATCAAAAAGTAATTCATAACATTGTGCCAATGGGTTATGTGATGTCTGAATACTGCACATACTCGGGTACATATGCACCAGTTTATGTATATATTTTGTATTTACATTTTCGCCTTGTTTACTCTGTACCCGTTGGCGCAGTCGAAATTGCTTTTTGCAGCATAAACATAAATATTGACGGGTTGTGTGCTGCTCAAGGACTCATCTAACAATATGGTCGGGTATTTATATTTATCAAACCAGAAAATATTCGTCGATAATAAAATATATATATATATGAATATATTAATATATGTTCATGTGTTTTCACATATAAGTGTGCAATACACGTAAGTACGTTCAAATCGGTAAGACTTACCTGTCGTAAGAGGCGACTAAAATCCAAAAGATCGGGTCGTTAGGCCGGCCAAGCCTCGTGTAACCTTCCCGAAAATATACTTTTGTGGCTACAACAATAACAACAACAACACCAGTAGACGTTCATTGAGATCGGAAACTATATTATCAGGTGCCGTTTTTTTTTCCAAAATTAAAAGCTTTATTGCGGAAAAGTTCTTACAGATATATTATTCAAAGAATTATCCTTCGCTAACGACAACTTTCTCCCATCTTTCCGGCAATTTTCGGATCCCGGCTCGAAAAAAGGAGTCCTCTTTTGACGCTATCCATGAAGCAATCCATTTTTCCAATTCTTCGAAGGATTGAAAATGTAGATCTACCAGGGCGTGTGCCATCGAACGGAATAGGTGGAAGTCAGAAGGGGCGACATCTGGGGAATACGGTGGGTGGGGCAAGACTTCCCATTTCAGCCTTTCCAGGTACTTTTTGACCACTTTTGCGACGTGAGGCCGAGCATTGTCGTGTTGGAGGATGACTTTGTCATGTCATTGTCTGCTTGGTCGCTTTTCTTTTACCGCGCGACTAAGGCGCATCAGTTACGTTCGGTAGCGATCTCCTGTGATGGTTTGGCACGAATCTTCATCAAGCAATGCTTCTAGTTGTTCATCTTTAAAGGTTTTTTCTCTTCCACCACCATGTTTGTCTTCGACATCGAAATCACCATTTTTAAAACGTTGAAACCACTTCCGACACGTTCTTTCACACAGAGCAGCATCACCGTAAGTTTCTGAGAGCATTCGATGCCTTCAGCTGCATTTTTTTTTTCGAATTGTAACAGAAAAGTAAGACTTCCCGCAAATGGCGAGAATTAGGCACTTAAACGGACATTTTCGAGCGTGAATAATACGAAAACAAGAACAACTGTCACTGAAACGGCGATGACAATTCGTTAGGCACTGTCTACACTCACTTTAAAGGTATTATCATCTATGTATTTCAACCAGCCTCAGCCGGTACAGCCACCTATCGGAAAACGGCGGAAGCAAAGTTGTACAACTGATACATAGCTCACATTCGAACCGAATGTTGTTCAGATATGAGGTTTTTGGTCAAAAGCCCAACATAAAAGTATCTTAGAGCATTAAATTTGGTATCATATATAATTATTGACAAATAAACATTCTCAACAAAAATAATATATGTATAATAAATATATGATGATAATCATCAAAAATGATTTGTGAAGAAATTGAAAAATTAATCGAATTTGAGTATTAATATTTAAAAATAAAATGAAATACCATATACTTGACAAGGTCACGGAAAGTAAAGGAAAGAAGGCTTTGGTTACTTTCACTTTACGTAAAATGAACCATCAAGCGCATCAGACTAATTGAATAATTTCCACTAATTATGCATGACAATGTTTCGTTTGTTGATGCCTTAAAATTATAATAATTTGATATGAATGCGCAAGAGGGAGAAAAAAAAGAGATGTAATAAGACTTGATAAGCTTTGGTATCAAATGTCATTTAGA